TGACATTGCTCATTTGAAAACATTGATAAAGAAGGGCACGAATTTGAGAGATGTTGTGGGGTGGGGTGGGTTTCTACGTTATTTTAAAATTACCTAGAATTTTGTGTCACTTAACAACTAATCTTTCATGCATAACCAATTTGTATCGTACTACTTCCTCGTTCCCTTTGAAATAGGCTTGTATTCATTTTCACACCGATTAAGAAAATATAATTAATATAGTTAAAAATATAAAGTTTTTTTTAATATTTTTTTCCTAAAATATTCCTACATTAGATAATGATTTAAATAAGAGTAGTTCATATTTTTTTGATAACAAGACGTTTTAAACAAGGATATATTAGAAAATTAATAAATTAACTATACTTTCAATAAGAAAAATGACTTATAATTTGAAATAAACGAAAAGGGAAAGTAAGAATATCTTTACGAGAAAGAAGGCATAAAATCGATTCGTAGGTAATCCACCACCCTCAAAATACCATTATTTCAAATGCTTGCTTGTGATTACTTAAAAAAGTAGTTTAAAAAATTGAAATCAAAGTTAATGACTAAGTTTAATCTCATATTTATGGGGTTTGTAACTTTTATTTACTTTTTAATTATACGTTTTAGCAAGTTTTGTCGGGAAAAACCCTAATTTTATAATGCATTTTATGTTAAAACTTACGTTGTTAAATGAGTTCATGTTAGGTCCTAATTTTTTAAAATTCATTTTTCCACAACTCAATTTCAACTATACATTTCATGGATTTCAAATTTTTTTATCAACTTTTCAATCACATATTTTATCAAAATTTACTTAGCCTCTCTTTGATGGAAATTAGAAACAGATTTTTAGTAGATTTTAATAAAAATTGATAATATGTGTACTTGAAAATTTCTAAATTTTATGAAATATGTGGTTAAAATTAATTTTTGATTTGATTTAAAATTTTAATCCTTAACAAATAGGGCCTAAAATTTGATTTTTAACCATGGGCTAAATGTCGTGAAATACCACTTGCATTGCATAAACAACTCGGAATAGGATTGCTAAGCTAACCTCACCAATTGTTAACTAGTAATTATTTCTTTTTTCTTTTCTTTAGTCAGACAGTGACTGGTTGACGGAAGCATATTCGATTTTGGACAGATATAATCTACATTTTTATGTCAGTGCTGACGACTTTGTTTGTACATTTCGTTTTTAAATTTGAATAACGGGGCTTTTACAGGGCTCCACGTGTATTATAAAATAAAATAAAATTACGTGGGCCCCACGTATGAGTGAAGCTTGGCAATGACATTTAAAAAAAGGTTAAATCCTAACCTTAAGGGTCCCCCACCACCCCTGTCCTGGAGTATCGTGAGAGAGGTAAATCGCATGTTATGCCTTCAAGGGTACAGGGTGGAAGGCTACTTGTACACTTGCACTTACCCAAGAGCCAAATCCATATTTCAGGATTCGAACCCTTGACGCAACAGCCTCAAGCAAAACTGGATTTTTCCACTCTTCCCTTTTACCACTTGGAGATGTGCCCTAGGGGCTTGACAATGACCTTTAAGCCTGTATGCAGGGTTGTTTAAATTTTGAGTTCTGCTAACTGTACAAGGTCTGTGAACAAAGACCCGTGTAGAATACTCACACCTCGAACCAAATACAAGGGCATATGAGTGTCTTGTACCCATCCTGTGAACACAAGACCTATACATGAGGCAAAATTCTTCAATTTTCCTCTCTTTTATATGCCACATGGGTATATGTTGAAAAACCTAATTTATCATTTATTAAATCAACTCATTTAAAACTTTAAACAGATGAAAATTAACATATTTATTTATCACAAAAAATTATGATTCAATTTTTATTTTTTATTTTTATCAAAACCCTCACACATATCTATTTAGTAACATATGGATGCTAATGAAATTTGTGTGGAACTCAAAAAATAGAAATTATTTTTAAAAAGTCAATTTTATTTTTATTTATTTATTTTTGGGGGCAAGGTTTTTGTCCGTTTTGGAGAATTTTTAGGTGTGTTTAGAATTTAGCTCATTTGAAAATTATTCTGAAACTTTTTCAATTCTAAATAGTAACGAAACATAGCTTGAAAATAATAATGAGAATTTATTGTCGTTTGAAAATTATTCTGAATGTTTTTCTATTTTAAGTTGTTACTGGACTTAGATGACAATGAGAATTTAGAGAATTGCTAAAAGAAATCAATTCTACACGTTTCAGCCTATGAAATTTTAGGTCAAAATTGGATGTCACGTGAGATAAATTATTAGTAATCCTAGTGTTTGTTTGGATTTTACTTTGATTGAACTATAACGTTATAATCATATGAGTTTCTTGAACTATAACGTTATAACTATTTGGTGGAGATTAAAATCGAATTTCTAGTTTGGATAAACATTGATGAAATGTGTGGTTGAAAAGTCAATTTCATGAAATATGTGATTTAAATTAAGCCTCGTTTTGGCTCCACTCAAACTTAAAATTTGGGGGGAAAAAATTATATATATATATTGGAAAATGTGTGGTTTAAAAATAAAGAAAAGTTTTGAATTTATGTATAATATTATTTTTTTGAAAAATATGTGATTAAAAATAAGAAACAGAAAAATATATTTTTTTTACAAAAATGGGGCTCAAACATTGGTTAATTATTGACTTTAATTAAAATTAAAATCTAAAATTTTAATATTTACCAAATAGAGGCTACACCATAAAGTCAATCGTTTTAAGCGCCCATTTGGCCACCATTATAATCTCATAATAATGAGAATATGATTTTGAAATAGTAACTTTTTTGGAGAATGTATGGTTAATACTGAATAATCACTACTATATAAAAAGAACAATGTATTGTTACTGTAAAAAGAACAATAGATTCTTCCATATTTACACACTGTAGCAACTTTTTTTTTCCCTGGAGCAAAAACAACGCTGTCTGCTCTTCAGTATCAATTTTTTTATTTTTTATTTTTTTAATCTCTGGAGCCAAGACGAGGCCGTCTGCAGATTAAAAAAAAAAAAAAAAAATATATATATATATATAAGCTACAGTGATGTACCCACTTTAGGTAGATTTTTCTTTCTTTTTTTCCATTTTCACACGCTACTCCTTTTTTCTCTTTGAGTTTCATTGGTTCGTTTCTTTTCTCCATGTATGTATATTATTTCTGTTTCTATTATATTTGGGATATCTGTATTTTGTGCTTCAATTATTGCGTTTATATTGTATTTGTTCTCTTTGTTTGTTCAATCGTTGCCACATGTTCTTTTGGCCTTATTTTAGTTTGTAAGTAGTGGTGGAGAATGTTTTCAACTTCTCTTTAGTTAGTGGTAGCAGTAATATCTAGAGGTTTTTCTTGTGATGATTAATGAAGGGGAAATCTACTTTCATATAATTTGATTTTTTATTTTTCTTGTATAGTGTTGAACTTCAATATTGATGTTGATTTGTTGTACTCAAACTCTGGAGTAAACTGGTAAATAAGAGAGTAAATAGAATTGGACGTGAAAATAACAGAATAGAAATACATGAAAATAAAACATTTTCCGTATATACAAATTCATTCAAAAGAAAGTAAAGAGGTCTCATAGACGTGTCAAACTTCCACCAACATGGTTTTTTTTGTAGACGATGAACGTTGGGGGTTCACTGTTCAAAAGTTCGAAAACACATGTATCGCCCATTTGTAGTTCTTTTTCTCTAAAAAAAATATCTGTCCAGCTTATAGTCATACGTCTTATTAGACCATTTGGTCGCAAATCTGTGGCGAGCTTCCAGTCGTGATGTAAAGAATCATGGATTTGAACATTTCGCAAA